GCAAAAAAGAGCGTGAGAATCAGCTCAATGAAAACGCAAGTCACAACCCCACAGCAGTACTACCTGCGCCTGGGGCGACAGCAATCGGACCCTCGGACCCTCTACAAAGGACTCGTCTCGGGTCCGAGTATATGTCGAAAGTTTTGCCAGGTTGATAACTTGGTTCTCGCACTGGGCGAGGCAAGCTCACCCAGTCCCTTGTCTCAAGGCGTTAGAAGTCAACTACAGCTTCAACGTAAGGATATCCGCCTAGAGCGTCATCTAATGCATGACTATGCACAGCACGTCGCGGACGTCGAGGTGACAACCCATCACCTGTGTCCTTGCTGTTTTCACAAGACAGCTCGCCTTCATGAAATACCTGTACAGCTACAGACCAAGGGTAGCCATCACCGCAAATTCGGTAGCCTTCTGCTAATGAGATGCGCGCTGCGATGAAAGGAAGATAAAGGAAGTAGAGTGCGCCGTGTTGTAAGCAGTCACAGCACCTGTGAAATCATGCCAAAGTAGACCCTAAAACTTCGGCGAGTTTCTAGGCCATGGGTGACCCTTCGGCTCACAAGGTACTTGTATCAACACTCTGTACCCAATGGATGACCAAGCATTTTACGTAAAGTGGGCCAATCTTTGATCATGGATCAGTGTTGGCGGAGTATCTACTACCGTGACTGGCTTTCGAGAGCCCCTCGGTTGTCGATGCACTTCAAAAGCCAAGGCATGCGACCGAGGCTGATATGAACCAGACCTCAGACTCCTTCTCCGGGTTCATCAATCGCATTAACTAAATCAAGGCACATCAACGGCTTGGGACCGTGTCACGGCTACAGACTTTACTTCATCTGCAACAGATCTCATCACGCTCAGCTGATTTGAAAAAGCGGGATTGTATTTTGGCTTTTACAATCCCACGTATAACACCGGATATGTTCGCATTCGCTTTGGGATATTCTGACTGTAAATCATCCCCTTTCTCGCCACGACCGTGAACAGTACGATGTAGCGCGGTCGCAACTTTGTGCTGCAGACCGCAGGCACTACATACGTTCGCAAGTGTGTTGTATTAAAAAAAATCTCTGGCCTCTGTTGGAAGTTGACCCGATTAAATGAACAGTCGGCTTCAAACAGTGGTTACGAAACT